CTCCCCCTCCCCCCATTCCTCTCCCCCTCCCTCTCCAGTCTGAAGAGCAGTCAGGGTTCCCTGCCCTGTGGAAAGTCCAAAGTCTTCCCCGTAGAGCATCAATTTCTATAGTTCACTCTAGACATAATGAATTCAGACCAGGACCCTTCATGAGCCTTCCAGAGTCAGATGAAAGTATGACAGGTCCAGGAAATATTCTCCATGAGGACAGAGTAAAGTGGTGTGGAGAAGTGTAGTCCCCCAAGGTCTGCTCATCTGCCAACTGTGGTGTCACATCATTTTTAGTCCAGTCCTTCAGTGACTGGGGAAGCTGGATATCTGTGAGTTCCAGACCGACCATGTCTGCATAGTGAATTCTAGAACAGTCATGGCTCCCTATAGAGACCTTTTATCAAAAAAAAAAACCCACAATAACAGCAACAACAACAAAAACACAAAGCAAAGGAAAACAAAAGAAAAGAATCAAGTAGAAGAAGAAATTGAGTTCAGACTATCCAAATAATGGACACTCAGGTCTAGAGAATGGATCATATAACCTAAGTCATGTTGTAAGAGCAACATTACCTAAGTGTAAACCAAGACAAATGAACTAGATGAAACAAATTATAGGCTAAAACATCACATGAACAGAGATACAAAATGTACAAAAATGTAGTTCATGGGCCATCTAAAGACTGTCCTGAAGAGCAAATATTCTTTTCTTGTTTGTTAAGAGCAAGTACTCTGTGATATCATATTCATGAGACTTTGCTAAGTATTCTATGATGTTTCTGTGAAAAAATTTACTGAGCGTGAATACTTCAGACTATACCATGTTACCCAAGAGAATGTATTATCAAATAGAAATAACACCTCATGAAAGAATAGATGGAACTTTCCAGTTTTGTAAATCCCATTAAAAATTCAACACTATATGGTGTTGATGATAGCAACAAGGAGAAAATTAAAGACATACACAATGGAGATGGTTTTTAACGCAGAGCTAGCATTTGTTAGTGTACTACCACCACTTGTCATAGACATTCACAGGAAATTAGCAGCAGAGACCTCTAGAGTAAGAATTATCTCATATACCAAAACACCAAAGTTAGCATATCGGATGATGAGAAAACAGAGACATGCATTAAATTCTGAAGAAGGTAACAGAATCTCCTCTCTTCACAATTCTCAGCTTTGTACTTGAAGCCTTAGCTAATACATAAGCAAAAGTAAAGTAAAGGAGCATTTCATTAAAGCTAAATTGAGAGAGAGAAATAAATACTCCTATCATTGATTGAAGATTACATGGTTGTCTATGTAGAAATTCTGAATCATTGTATGATAAGCCATCCTAGCAAAGAGAATTCTGGGATGGTTGGATATGCTAGCTAATTCCTTTTGCAGATATGAGAAAGAAACAGTGGGAAATGAAGTGAAAAGCACATCCATTTAATGCATCATTCTACACCCTCACTCCTGTGATGTTACATTGCTGTTGGAAAGGTGTCTTTGATGGGAATATTTACAGTGGTCAGGAAATGTCACAAATCAGGACTTTGTATTAGAAAACACCTTCAAAGTCCTGCCCACATTAATTTGCCAGGTTATCCTGTCCCACCAGTGTGGTAAATTTGACTTCATATTTCAAGAGGAACTCCATGAAGAACATGTGTTGAAGACTGAAAGGTTGGAGGGTCATGGAAAGAGTTTTGGGCAACATAGGAAGAGTAACTTTGAATTCTGGTCTCTGACTTGACTCATCATTTTTGTTATTGAGGTACCCTTCTTGTTTCTAGTCCAACAGACAGAGCCTCCTGCCATGGGGAATGTAGCAGTGTATAAAAAATGAAAAATGACACATGAGAGGGAGGGGACTAGAAATGTACAGAAATGAGGATGCAAGGCAAACACATGGAACAGTATATTCCCTCACTATATTTATTCAGAAAAAAGTCAGTTCAGTCAGCAAATGCCTCCAGTATATGGAGGAATATACATTTATTTGCTGAGGAAGGGTCTCATCAAAACATAAGCAAAATACCCAAAACACATTTGCTCCCTGGATAATCTCTCACAACAATTCTTCAAAGTAAGAAACAGATTTTTTTTCCCCAGAAAACTTGGATTATCAAATTTATTTCCTAGACTCTGGGACCTTGAAATATATACTTCCTTTTCTTCTGGTTACTTCCCAGCTGCACACTGGCTCTGTCTCTGGATTCACCAAGCCTCAAAGACCAGAATCCCAAGGACTATGAAGATCATGGCAGCAAATCCCATCCTAATGAGATTCTCCGCTGTGTGGTCCTGTTTTTCTGAGGCTGTGGTTGTGGATAAAGAAGTTACAGAAGTTAGTGTTGGTGAAAATTCCTTCAAGATAACTAAAAGTCCCCAAGATAACTAAATGTTTCCAGATAACTGAATGTACACCCAGGGCCCCTACATTCCCTGTACAAAACTTGAGCCCTATGTTTTCAGTGCTTTGAGTCTGAAATCTCTTTATTCAATTGTCTTGAGTTTGGGCATGTTAGGATGGACTGGTAGTTTCAGCTGATCCTGAGAACAGAAGAAGCATATAATGTGGGTGTGCCTAAGAGACCTGAGGGTTTCTTTTGTGTGTCACTTTCTCACTTAATATAAATACCCATCATTTTCATCGTATAAACTAATGAAGTTCTGGAATGAATATTTCACTTGGTATAGCTGGGCTCTCTTATTAGTTTCTTCAATGACACTGTAAAGCAGTGAAAACAGGAAATTCAGAGTAGAATACATTGTCAAGATATTACTGACATCGATTCTGAGTCACTGCTCTGAACAGCCACAGGACCATTCTGAATATGGTTTCTCTGGTGAATTCAGCAATGACTGTCTGGGCGTACATCATCAGTATGAGATGATTTCCCAAATGTGTGTTTTTGCTTAATGTGCGTTTGTTTGATTGCCATACTTAGATACTCCCATTTCTCCTTTGATCTGAATATTACCCTGATCTCTTCTGAGTACCCAGGGACCAGTAGTGGGTTATAATTTCAGAGATGAGATACAGTTTCTGCTAAGGTTGAGAACCTGTCTTTTGTTACTAAATTTACCCAGATGTTCCTTCCCACATCAGACCAAGAAATTTCTCGATCCGCAGCTCATCCAGAAGTACATTTTTCTGATACATATGCATCACCATCTGCTTTTTCACATATTATATGAGTAATGGAGGACCAAGATGTAGAGAAGAGTCATGAAGAGGGTTTTGCAGTCTTGGCTCTCAAAAGGTGTAATGATGGTGGTGGTGTGTTTGTGTGTGTGAGTGTGTTTGTGAACCATGAAAGAGTACATTGTAGTCACTAGGTCTTAACAGTGTTCCCAGGGCATGGCTGTCTGACACTAAGCATAGGTCCCAAGACTGACATATCTAATCCTTACTTTTGTCATGTTTCAAATAGCCATTATCAAGACAAACGGGACAGGCTACAGTGTGAAGAGAGGGTGGTGCAGGTCTCCCACCACTTTAGGAGACCCAAAGGTCCATGGTGGAGAGTTCCTGCAGGTCCTATCCCCAAATCTTCTCTTTTTCAGATAGCACACTGAGGGCAGGCAGAAAACATTCTTAGCTGCCAGCTCACAAAATAAGGTGAACTCATCCAGTCTCATTTTCTTTATTTCATTCTGAAGTGAAATGTCACAGACTTCACAAACAATAGAATTTGACTGAGACTGCTGGATTTTGTTTTTGCTTAATATGACCATAGTTATGGTCAGACTCTCCTGAAGCATTCTGTCTTGTAGAATTGAGCTATGGATTTGGATCTGTTTTGAGGAGAAGGAAAATATAGCAGGATTTTTACTTATTACAGCAAGGCTTCCTCCTCCCCTGGAGACACTGTGGGCCATGGATGCTCATCCAGTATGGGTCTATAAATACTGGTAAGTGTCGGGTGATGAGTAGAGGTTGTCACTGAGGCCTGGTTTCTGCTTAGTAGCATATATCTGTCTGTGACTTCTCCTAGATGCTCTTTCAGACTTCCTGAATCCTTCTCAGTTCCTTTAGCAGGGTTTGTCATGAGCATTCCTGGAAATATCCATGTTGGACTCTACCATCATGAGAGTTAATATCCATCTGGTTGCCTCTCTGCATCTTTTGTTACTCAATCCTAGTCAATAATTGCTGTAAATGGAGGATGCTTAGACACCCTCCCCCCTCATCTCTTAAGGATCTGGATTAGCTCATCTGGGACCATGAGTTTCACAATGGTACTGTCACATAATAACAGATACATAGATGAGTTGAGGTATCCATTCATTGATAGGAATCCCTGATATTGGAGGTCACAGAATGCATTGGAGAATACCACAACTATGCCCTACGAGCTAGCAAGAATGAGGCTGAATGCTCTGCCATGGCCCTGTGCCTCATGCTTGCACATGCCACTTGCACTGTGGGACAGATCCACAGAGAACCAAGTTATAGAGGAGTATTTTGTCAGGAGAAGTTACAGCCATGGCCAGCACTGAAAGAAACTTCAAGGTCTGGGCCACACTCCCCATTCTCATCACTTTTGGAACTTTATTTTACATATCAATCAGTTTCTCCTCCTACTTCTTTTCCTGTTCCCTCCCCAACCTCTTTTCTGTTCTGCTCCCACACCCCCATCCCCTGCTCCTTCATTTCCATTCATATGGGATAAGGACTCCCATGCAAACTGACAAAGCTTGACATATCACATTGAGGCAGGACCAAATTCCTCCTACCCCAGCCTCAAGGCTGAACAGGGCACCCCGCCATTGGGAATAGTTTCTAAAGAGCCAGCTCTTGCATCGTGGTTAGCAGCAGTCCAGAAACAGGAAGATTTGTCTAAGTCAGCATCGCTAAAAGCAGCTGTTTCAAACACATAACCAGCTATTTTGTATTAAAACCCCACATTACAATGGGGTCTTTACATACCCTTCTGGGGCCTGATTCCATATAGCTGAGAAAGGTGATCTCATGACTTAGTGGCTGGAAGAGGAGGTGAGTATCTGGGTCTCCTTTTCTACTTATCTTTGTGAACTACAATGAGCCTAACCATCTCTCTGAATGCCACCTTCTGCAGCACAAATTAAATCCTGGGCTTCTGGTGGCTCTGTTAGGGTCTCTGTTTGCCTCTCAAATTCACAAGCTGAAGTGACAGAGAAATGACTTTTCTGAGCTAAGAGCTGGCAGATTACCTGGGTATGGAGCATACTCCCTGTACTGAGGTGCCTGATACTCACCAGCTGATTGTGTGGGCCTTAGAGGTGGCAGACTGCAGGCTCTAATGGGATCTAGGAAAAAGAACAGGAGGACAGTGAGGTTTAGATGCTAACCCAGGGATCTGCCTGTGCTCATTCTTCTTTTTCTCCCTTGTAACCTCCCCAAAATCTTTATACTGTCTATTCCAAACCCAGATTGCAACAGAAAATGGAATGGACATTATTTGAAAGACTGCTGCTGGCATCCACCTTCTGACTGACCCTTTCTGGTGTCCCCTTACTCCCACCCAAGACAAAGGCTTTCCTAGGGTTTGGTTTGAAAATCACCCTGAGAGTTCTGGGTCACTCCACCTGAGACAGTGAGCTCCACAGGGGCACTGGCATATGACAACAGGTAGAGAGAAGTGTCTTCAGAACCATAGCACCTGTAGGTGCCTGAGAAGTCAGAGGTCACAGCACTCATGGAGAATTCTGCCTGGAACTCCCAAACTTGGAACTTTGCTTTTAATTGCTGGGATTGGTGGGCTGCTCCCTCCTTGGACAGAATGAAAGTGTCTACTTTGTATGATGATTGGCACAGCAGGGTCACATTGTCTCCTGAGTGTACTGTGGAGTTAGGCTTTGCTGAGAGGGAAGGCTTGACAGGAAACTGCCCTAAAGAGAAGGGAGTTGATGAGAGATGGCCTTCAGTGTTCTGAGCTGATACCTCACCTGGGTCTGCCATGAACATCTTGGACTCTCTTCTTTGTCTGAGCCCCTCTCCTACTCCCTTGTCTCTGCATCTGTTCCTGAATAAGATTCCTGTCCTTCACCCCCAGCCCTCACATCCTTAACTCCCCCATGCGAATTTATGTAGAGTTTAGGTACCCAAGGGAATCTGTTTAGTTCCTTACCTGTGATCAGGATGTCCAGAGGGTCACTGGAGGCTGACCACTCAGAGGAGAGGTTGTGTTTACCATAGCATCTGTACTGGCCTCTGGTAGACTTACTCACAAGGCCCAATGTGAAGTTGGCCAAGGAGAGACCAGCCTGGGTCCACTGGCCATCACGCTGGATGAAGTCAGCTCCCCCCAATTTGTACAGGGCAAATCTGTCATATTTGATGTCAGAGCAACACTGCAGGGTGAGGCTCTTTCCAGGATCCAGGATATGGCCTTGGTGAGTCAGTAGGGAGGGCTTCTTAGACAGGCCTAGAGGAAGATGACAGGCTAGTGATGGAGGAGCTGGTTTTTACCAAGCACTTCCTCTCCCCTCCTGCCCTGCACACATCACTACTTCTACCCAGGAGTGGGGCTCTGGCTCAGCAACCAGGTTCTTCCTATTTCACTTTGGACACTTCCAGGGCTAAGGTCTTAGGGTATCGAAAAAAATGATTGGTCAAGATGGGGATGACTCACCAGAGATGTGTATTTCCAGGGGTTCACTGGGTACTGACCATAACTGTAGAGTATCCTTGTAGAAACCATAACATCTGAATGTCCCTCTGTGGTCTGGTGTTACACGATCTATAGAGAACAAAGTTTGGTATTGCCTAATACTGCGTATATATTGTGAGTCCAAGGAACTGAGGAACTTCTGATCTTCCTTTGTGAGAATGAACTTGTCATATCTCTCCCTTGAGACACATTGGAGAGTCATTTTCCCTCCTGAGGACACCACAGGGCTGGGCAGGGCTGTCAGGTGGGATTTAATGTTGTAGATTCCTAGGACAGAAGGAGGCAGACTGTTACATGGACTCACACAGTCACAATGTTCTGTAAGCCTAGGCTGTGGGAGGGGAATACTCCTGAGAGCAGAGCCTGGGGCTGAGACCCTGCCTGTCCCCTCACCTGTCACTACCAGTTCCAGAGTATCACTACGTTCTGACCAGCCTTCCAAACTGTAAGAATAACAGTGATACTGTCCTGCAAGTTGATATGTGACATTAGAAATGGAGAACTTGGCCTTGTTCTCAGGTTTCTGAGGTATTTGTATGCCCCAGGGTTTTTGGCTTCCATCTTTATGCAGAACATAGATTTCTGCATCCAGTGTCCCCTGACACCAGATATCCATGGGACTTCCTGAGGTGATCACAGATCCTGGCTCAGCCTGGATGGTGGGTTTGTGGAGGGTCCCTGTAAGAAAGGAAAGAAGGAGATGGTTCTGTCTGAGAATGACACAGAGAAAGGCACACTTGCCATTGACACTTTTTTCTTTTAAATTTATTCTTCTGTCATACAGTACACACTGACAGCAGCATCCCCATCTCTCCTCTCTCCTAGATCCGCTGCTCTTCTGTTCTGCTTCAGAAAAGAGCAGACTTCCCAGTGATATTAACAAAACAAGGAATAACCTCATGCAATAAGACTAGTCACACACTGCACATTAAGGTGGACAATGCAGCCCAGTAAAAGGAAAAAGATCCCATGTGCAAGCAGAAGAGTCAGAGACTTCCCCAGTTCAATTGTTTTGAGTTTAACAAATACCCTAAACTAGTCAGGCAGTGGTGGTGCACACCTTTAATCCCTGGACTTGGGAGGCAGTTGCAGGTAGATCTCTGTGAGTTCAAGGCCAGCCTAGTCTACTGAGTGACGTCCAAGACCTTAGACAGGGCTACCCAGTCCCTCTCTAGAAAACAAAACAAAACAAAACAAAACAAAACAAAACAAAACAAAAGAGAACCCAAGGCAAACAGCTATAGCATGTGTGCAGAGGGTCTAGAGCAGTCATGCACACTGTTTCGTTGCTGTTTCAATGTCTGTGAGCCCTCATAACCCCTGCTTAGTTGATTGTGTGGGCCATGTTCTCCTGGTGTCATGAGTGCTCTGGCTCCTACAACCCTTTCTTCCTCTCTTCTGTGGGCTTCTCTGACCTCTTGTAAACAGTACAGGGACTGATCCAGAGTAACAGCAGGCACCATGAAGATTCTTCTCTGTCCTGGACCTCCTGGATTTTGCTGCCACTGTCTGTTTAGTCTGTCATGGATTCTGGATCTTGTGTCCTGCTGCCTTCCATGCTCTGTGTCAATGGGCTCAGGATCCCTGACTCCTCAATACACCACACACCAAGACATCCCTGAGAACCTATATAACTTCAACATCATCCTAGGGGAGAACCTGGGATTCCTTACCTGAAAACAGGAGCTCCAGGGGCTCACTAGGTTCTGACCACAGCAATGGGCTGTTCTTGTTAAAGTTGTAGCACCTGAATGTCCACCTTTGGCTGGAGGTCACAGGGCCCACAGAGAACATTGCCTGGTACTGCTGAGTAGAGTGGTTATACTTTGAATCCAGCATCCAGGAGAGCTTCTGTGGTCCTTCCTTAGTCAGAACAAACCTGTCATATTGCTTCCCTGAGATACACTGGAAGGTGAGCAGGCTTCCTTCACTCACCACAGGACTGGGCTGAACTGACAGACTGGGTTTCCCGTAGATTCCTAGGAGAGAAGGAGGAGTCAGTTAAATGTCTTTCGGACTTCATTATCCTGTAGGACTGTGAGTGGGGGCTCATCCCTGTGCACACAACCATGTCTTGACAGTCAATCCTGAGTCTGGAGGCACCGAGTTTCCTCTCACCTGTCACCACCAGCTCCAAGGAATCACTGTACTCTGACCATCCATGACGGGTCCTGTATTGACAGCTGTATCTCCCTGCTTCTTCAGGGCCTATTTTTGAGATTGAGAATTCTGTCTTGCCCCTAGGATTCTGTGGAATCCCTGTGGTCCTTAAATATTTGTATCCATCTTTATACAGGCGGTACTCTTTGACTTCTGTTGTACCCTCACACAAGAAGGTTACTTTAGTCTGCTTGTAGACCACAGAGTCTGGCTGTATTCTGAGAATAGGCTTAGGGAAGGCCCCTGCAAGGAAATGAACAAGTAACATCCAGAACATCCACCCTCAGATTTCAGCCTCCATCCCTAACCCTCAGCCATCACCAGGACAAGGACACATGTGTTGTTTTTCATCCTCACTGTCAAGGCATGGTTCCAGGAATGATGAAAAGTGAATACCACAACATCTGCAGACACTCACTCACCTGCCAGCACTGGGATCCGGAGACTCAGAGTAAGTCCTGGAAAAAAAAGTTCTCTGTGAGAGGTTTGTCCATGAAACTTGGGCAGCTCCTTCCCACTGAAGAACCTCCTGAGACCCTGGGGTTTCCCGATGGGCCAGTGCTGGGCTGTGGAGCATTAATCCCAGAACACACTATCTCCTCCCTATCTCCACATCTCACCCTCACCTATACAGAGCAGGGCTTTGAAGGTGAAGGTCATGGCATCTCCTCCTGGAAGCTGCAAGTTTGTTTATGGGCAGAGCTTGGAGGAACAGGAGACAGAGGGTGTGGATTCTGAAGGCAAGCAATCCTCCTGATATGGTTGTGTTTCAGCAGTCACACAGGAAGGGGAACTGTCCTCCTTAGGCAGCAGGCTCTGACTTCCCCAAGGCTGTGACTAGGTCAGGCTATAGACTCTTCAGTCAATATTAGATGGATAACATTTCCATAACCTCATCAGAGTCTGTCTCATTTGTCCTCATCTTTGTCAGGGCCAGGTGATAGCAGCCATGCATGATTATTACACATAAGAAATAGAAGTTTTCATGTGATTTTTCTTTATTCCTTTTTCACATTTTATGTGAATTATTTCTTCATATTAAAAATATTTGAAGGCTTATATGAAGGGTCTCACTCTGTACATTTGCATGACATAATATTTATAGTCCCTGCGGCAGCGACCTCCACAGGAGCAGGTAAAAAGGAGCGACTGCAAAGGGAACCGGCCTGAGCCAGTGACCTCTGCCAGAACAGGCCCTTGAACTGGGCCTCTATAGGAGCAGGTATGAGGGAGAGACCCCCAGGGAAGCAGGCCCGAGCCAGAGACCTCTGTGGGAATGGGTCCAAGCCAGAGACCTGAGACCTCTGCCAAAGCAGGCCCGACCCACAGTCATCTGTGGGAACAGGCCCCAGTCAGTAACCTCTGCTGGAGCATGCCTGAGGCAGTGACTCCCATAGGATCTGGTACAAGGAAGCAATTGCCAATGGAGTAGGCCTGAGTCAGAGACCTCTGCAGAACCAGGATCAAGCCAGGGATCTCCCCCAAAACAGACCTGAGCCAGTGACTTCCATCAGAGCAGGCCTGAGCCAGGGACATCCCTGTGAGCAGGCCTGAGTCAGCAACCTCCACTGGAGTAGGCCTGATCCAGTGGCCTCTGCTGGAGCAGCCCCAAGTCAGTAACCTCAGTGAGAGAAGCCCCAAGCAAGTGACATCCTTGGGAGCAGGCCTGATCGACCCCCAGTATTGCTGAGCTACTCCTGGGAGCACCAAGTGAACTCTGGGAATGCTCAATGACCTCTGGCATAACAAACCATGACCCTGACTGTACCATGAGGAGCAACAATCTGAGCCTTTGATCTCCTGGCCCCTGGAAGATTGATCACCAGAGGCATAGCCCCAACTACATCAATCAGAGGAAAAGATGGATAGACAAGGTAAGAACAGATTCAACACTACAAAAGGCAACACGATACCAACAAAAACTAGTGACTCTGCAATAGGAAGACTTGAATGACCTAAAAACTAACTCTTTAGGAGAATGTTTGAAGGCCTTAAAAAGGGAATGAAAAGTTCCCTCAAAGAAATGAAGGAAAAGACAAAAAATTGTAAAAAATCAACAAAACCATTTAAAAAAGCAAGAAAAAAAAACAAGAAAAAGCAACCAAACAGATTAAAAAAATAATTTAAGACTTGAAAATTGAAATAGAGGTAGTAAAAATAAACAAACCACAAACTGAGGGAAATCTGGAAACAGCTATTATGATAAAACAATCAGGAACTTGGTCTCCTTTGTTGGCTTTTGTGGGGACCCACAGATTTGGGCAAAACACTACCGTACCCAATCTCTCTCTCTCTTAAGGACTTTATCCTTTTTCTTTTCTCTCTCAAACCTACATATATTTTTAAGCACACTGTAATCCATTTAGAGGTTTTGTTTTTTCATCTGAATCTATTTTTATTGTATATCTTTCTTTTTCCGACAACATGAGTCTTTGATTTGCTAAGCAATATGGCTAGGATTAAAGTTGTAATTTTGATGGCTGGATCCACCCCATTCCTTAGCTTTTTGAGAGTCTAGCTTCATGGTGGAAGTATTGGTGGGAACCATGTTTATTGCCACAACTCTATGGAGTTACAAGGTCCCTGTCACCACCAAGAAGCATGCTGTTGGCTATTCATAAACACCATTTAAGTGTTTTGTAGTGGGGCCTCTTAAAAGGGCTGCAATGTTTTTGCAGCTAAAGCTGAGTCAGGAAATATCTCTTAAATGAGACATGTGGGATTCCTATCTGTATGCTGTGATTACAATTGATTAATAAAGAACCTGCTTTGGGCCTATAACAGGGCAGAACAGAGGTAGGCATGGAAAACTAAATTGAAATATGGGAGAAAGAAGGCAGAATCAGGGAGATGCCATTTAGCCACCAGAAGGAAAGACATGATCTGCCACCTGGAACCTTGCTGGTAGGCCATGAGCCTCATGGTAAAATATAAAATAATGGAAATTGGATAATTCTAGATGTAAGAGCTAGCTAGCAATACACTTAAGCTATTGGCCAAACAGTATTGCAAATAGTATAGTTTCTGTGTGATTATTTTGGAAGTCTGGGTGGCCGGAAAATAAACAAGGAACCTCCAACTACAAATTGGCACTCTAACTGTGCTATCTAAATCCACATGAAACCTGAGAGGGCTTGGAGAGAAATTCTAGACACTAAGACACAAAGTTTAGCAGCATTTTCTTAGGTGGGCTCTGTTTGCTAGAAGCAAACAGATGCACAATTCTTTTAAGAGAAAACTTATTGACTCAGCGGCAGCAGCAAAAACTGTGTAGTTCCTTTAATAAGGTTTCCCCACACAAATGGCTCTGACTCTTTTGGGAGCTCTGGATATGGAGCATTTAAACACAGTCTGTGAGCAGACTGTTACAAGGTGCTTAATGGCAACATAGACCTGCTTTGTGTCTAAAAATGGGACAATGTACATGGCTCTCAGAGACAGCGAGCATGCCTCCACCATGCTGGACTGGGTAGAACAAGAAGGCAGGGCCATATTGGCCCTAGCCATGTCCACTTAGCATTAAAAAAATATGGTGCCTCTATTCAGAGAATAATAACAGATACACAATAAAAAGAATTCAGATAAAAAAGACCTCTAAATGAGTCACAGTGTTGGATAAATGTCTTCAGGCTTGGGAGAGAGAAAAACAATTATAGAGAGGTATAAAAAGAAGCAAATCATTTTTATAAAATAATAAAACAAAGTCTTTAAATAGACAGAGTAAGACAGTCATAGGTTAAGGGAATAAAGAAAAATAAGCCATTTAAGGATAGAAAATCTATAGAGAGTCTGGATTATGTATATTATTGTTTTCTTTGAATTTTTAACTGTAAATTATGTAAGTACAGAGAGATATTTCATTGAACAGGCTGCTAAGATAAACCAACATAAAGGTATCTTGACTTCAGAATTCAGGTCTAAAGACATATTGCTTTGGAAAAGAAGTTCTGTTTATTTTCCACAGAGGATAAGAACCTGTGGATTTCTTCCAGACTAATATGGTTTGATAGACTAAGACTCCCTGAAAGGTCACCATGAACACCCCCTAAAATACTTCACCCAACAAAAAGCAGGAAGCAATTTGGAGAGAACAATGCCCAAATTCCCCAAATATTGTTTATAAATGTTTGTTTACATTTAAAGGGGCATATGCTATAGAGATTTGCAGAGGTATGAGTCTTGGCTTGTGGATACAAATTTTAGGTCAATTTTGTTATATGTATATTTCTGCTCTTGATTAAGGTATTGTGTTTGTGTAGCTCATTTAAAAATGTAATGTATAATTAAGAAACATAGGTTAATAGATAGTCATCTGTAACAGTCAGGCTTGTAGTAAAGTTAGTTAGAGTTTCTAGATATATAGAGATATATTTCAGCTAGATATTCTTCAAATCTTTTAGAGAACTTCAGAGTATTGTATTTAAAATTTTTTAATAACTTAGGACTTTTTATGACTTGAATGATATTTCCTCCTGGCAGCACCAATCTACTTCAAGAGGATGATAGGGACCAAAGAGGCTCCTTATGGAGTTTGTTAGAAACTCCTTTGGGCAAGAAACTGCTCTTGCCTGAACTGCTTGACTTTATTCTGTGTGAAATGAACATGCAGGACCTACAGAGAAATGACTGCTGAAGTTGACTAAAGGTAAGATGATCCCTTGGAGTTCCTGCTTCATGAAAGAGTCTGCTAGACATTCCTTAGGATGCAGAAGAAAGTGACTGACAAACTGCCAATAAAGGAGAACCTGTCTTTAGAATTTCTTTTTTATTTCTTTTTGGATTAATCCAGCAGCATTTTTAATCAAATGTCTTTTAGCGGCTGTTGTTCCTTCCTCAACAGTCAAAAAAATTCAAAGATAACACAATAGCATATAATATCCAGATTCTCTATGTATTTTTCATCTTTACATGACTTTTTTAAAAAAATATTTATTTATTAAAAATTTCCACCTTCTCCCCTCCTCCCATTTCCCTTTCACTCTTCCCCCCTCCCCCTCCTTCTCTAGTCCTGAGAGAAGTCAGGGTGCCCTGCCCTGTGGGAAGTCCAAGGCCCTCCCCCCTCCATCCAGGTCTAGGAAGATGTGCATCCAAATAGACCAGGCTTCCAAAAGCCAGTACATGCAGTAGATCAAAATCCAGTGCCATTATCATTGGCTTCTCAGTCAGCCCTCATTGTCAGCCACATTCAGAGAGTCCGGTCTGATCACATGCTCATTCAGTCCCAGTCCAGCTGGCCTTGGTGAGCTCCCATTAGATCAGTCGCACTGTCTCAGTAGGTGGACACACCCTTCACTGCCCTGACTTCCTTGCTCATGTTCTCCCTCCTTCTGCTCTTCATCTGGGCCTTGGGAGCTCAGTCCAGTGCTCCAATGTGGTTCTATGTCTCTATGTCCATCCATCGCCAGATTAAGGTTCTATGGTGATATGCAAGATATTCATCAGTGTGGCTATGGGATAAGGCCAGTTCAGGCACCCTCTCCTATGTTTCCCAAGGACCTAGCTGGGAACATCTCCTTGGACACCTGGGAACTGTTCTAGAGCCAAGTCTCTTGCCAACCCTAAAATGGCTCTCTTAATTACGATATCTTCTTCCCTGCTCCCTTATCCACTATTCCTCCATCTCAACCTTCCTATTCTCCCAAGCTCTCCCCAATCCTCCT